ACAGAACTTTGGGATAGTCTGGAGAGGTCATTGTCTACTGTTTGACAACAATTTTCTCTAATTTCTGCTTTCAGGTCCAAGAAAGTTTAATCCCATCGTCTGCCGATCCTAATGGCTTCTGGCGGGACTGCAAAATGGACCATGCTCATTGTAACTCATCACAAATGCAGTTTCTGCAAGGTGTTTCAAGTTTGTTTCTGTTATGTTTTGACTCAATTTTCTTAGTGGCAAGTCAAATATAGATGAATTGCCCATAACCACTCTTTTCTTCCTTCTCCCATTGAAATAGACTTCAGGAGCCAAATGCTCAATACCATAAATGGTTTCTCGAAGTCCAATCAAAATGGTTTATTCATAAATTCCTGTTTTGCTCACTGCCAGTCTGAGAGACAGGATACATGGTACGAGAATGATTCTCCTCGTATTGGAAACAAGGTATGTCCCATCTATTCATAAAACTTAGTTCTGAATTTTCTATTCAAATGCTTGAATGTAAAGTTGCATGTATTGGTCAGAATTCATACAACTGACTTCTGCAAATTTGATTTTTGTTATCAAATATGCAGGCAATTGCAGTGTCTGTTGGAGACTGGTTCTTTGATCGAATGGCTGTTAAAGCTATCGACTGTCCGTACCCCTGTGACAATACCTGTCACAATCTTATCTTCAAGTGAGTGAGAACTTCACATTGGGTGCCTGTAAAGTCCTGCATGGCTTTCACTTTATTCTTTCCACAATTGCTATTTGTGGAAACTGTAACATTCATTCATTTCGACGATAGACTGATAAACCATGAGATTTCTAGGCTATGCAAATCACAATGATTAGCGACATCCTATCCTTTTTATTTATCTTTTCAAAAACTATACTTTAAACAATACCGTGTCTCCTAAGACTTCCGTTATCTTCATGCTCAAGCTGAGCAGAAAAATATTTTACTTCTAATAACTATGCATACTACCTGCCAACTACCAGCTTCAGGTAAGTTTCGTTTTACACTAAGTTGTCCCGGATTCAATTACAGGTGATGCATTGTTCTAATGGTAAACGGATGGAATTGTTGCCTTAGAGACTAGAGTCATAGTAGTTCAAACTCTTCCCACCCATTTGTTGTCGAGCGCATTGCAAATTGCAATATATATTCTCTTTCCAGTTTCTTGGCTTAGTATACCTAATGCACCCTCTCTGGATTTCCTCTCTCCACGTCGTCTGTGAGACTGAAAATTAATATCTTCCTCTGCAGTGATGATGTTACATCAACCATAACGATCTCAGAGGCGACAAGGTTGACATTTACTCACCTAAATCTGCTTAGTGCCTTCTTGATCACCTTAATATATTCCAAATGCATCATGGGTTCTCGGTTTGGCCAGTGACTAACAATTATAACTTTAAAGTACACATCGTAGCTAGATATGGTGGATCCTTTTGCCTGCATTTCAAACCATTCATTTAAAGTGCCTCTTTGGTAGCCACTGCCTTTCTTTTCTACTATTCTGTGGTTAAGATACTCAATTCTCTGGAATGATTTTGCGATAAAGTGAAGAAATTAAGCGCCGAAGAGGGATGCTTCTTGATGATAGCAACAATATGGGATTGGCTCCTTTATTTGATCATGGCAATTCTGGGTTCACATGTGTTCCACATTCTTTATTTTGAATCTGTAGATTTGAGATATTTTGAATAATGAACACAAGTTGGCAGGATGTTTGGTATGGTGATATATCTCATGGTAACCACCTTTACATTGTCTTTTTTTAATAGTCTGAACGATTACAAGGTAGTATATATTTAGAATTTTCTAAACCTATTGATACCGTGCACATACCCTACAAATGTAAGTGCGGAACCCGACTCGTTTAAGAAGAACAATATTTTCTGTAAGTTTCACTCTATTTGATATAACTATCTGATGGTTAATTTAAGCAATATGCAGAAAGCATTGATCTGTAAACAAGCTGGTGAAAGGCTTTAAGGTAGTTTTCTGCAATGGAAGTTCTGCACTTGCTTTCTTAATTACAAAAGAGCCTGATTATTTGACCCCACAGGCCTTGCTTGATTGCTTTGGGTATATAAAAAGTTCATCAAATCATCATTTTGATGGTTTATCAATGTTCAGGCTTTTGAGTGGAGACATTGAATCAACAAAACTCTAAAAATGCAACCTTTTCGGAACAAGGAAACAAAAATCATTCAAAATCCATACACAGCGACCTCTTGCCGCCTCTTGGCCTAGTAATCACCACCACGCCGGCGCTACCCCCTTGGCTCTCCCCACTGTAATTGCTATAACCCACCATGAAATCCCCATCTTTCTTTTCGCAACCATTTTACAACTCCATATCTGCGCATCTTTCGCTTACAATCCTCCTCTTCCTCCTCCTCCTCAAACTCTTACTCCCTTTTGGCCTCCCGAATCCCACCTTTAGATCTTCATTTTCACTGGCGTAATCCTTGACCACTCCCATCAACTGATGAGCGATAGCCGCCCTGGTCGGGTTCCTCCAACGAAGCGGCGTCGTGGGAAGAGAGTAACAGCCAGATTCTTTGTCGGAGTCAGAGGGCAGTTGAAGCGATTCTTCTTTGTTAAAGAAATCTTCGTCGACCTCGGCATCGGCATCAAAGCTTTCGATCGATAATCTCGACATGGAACTAGTGCACATCGAAAGCCTAGACAAGTTATGCGGATGAGCCAGATGATCATGTCCATCATCAGGGATGACCGAAGGGCACGCCTATAAATTTTAAATTATTTAGATATTTTTATATTTTATATAAATTATTTAATTTTACAACTAAAATTTTCAATATAAATTTTTATATTCACATCCCAAAATAAATTCTTACATCCGTCCTTCCCTGACTATCATCATGATCAAACACAACATCAATATCATCAAACCCTTGTTCAAGCATCGAAGCCACAATAGTCATACTTCCATTTGATGCCATCTTTCGCATTCTGTAACCTAAAAAAGAGTGAAGTGAAGAAGGTAAAAAGTGTTTGCTTTTATGAGCCGCTGCAACTTCAATAGCAAACTCGATCGAATCTCTAAGCAGCACATTTATAGTAAATATTCTCTCCTTTAAGTTTAGCGTATTTCCTTCCACTTTAGCCCTCGCTCGATTGATGGCTTCCTTTGCCGGTTGAGAAAATAAGTAAAAGGGTGAGATTGTAATTTCGTATTTGAAATCAGTTTGATTAAGGAGTATTAAGCTTTGTGCTTGATCCTTAAAAAATTATTAAAGAGACCACACGGCGAATGGCTTAGTGAAGCACCCACAACCACTGAATTAGCGACACGTAGTATTAAGAAGGTCCTCTGGTGCTGACAACCTCCGTGAGCACGCACTTCAATTGGTAGAAGATTAATGCATGAGTTGCTGTTCAAGTTAAAAAAAATAGTTTTATTAAATTTTTGAATTACTTATATTTTTTATCATTTTATTATTAAATAATTATCAATTTCATAACATGGCAAATAACACTAAAACGATAACATAAAAAAATATATATAAAAGTATTATGTGAGCATCTATTTGGGGATTTAATTGTTGGTTGACAAAAATACAATAAAAAGTTTGGATACTAAAAATAGTTAGGTGACCAACTAGATAATTTATCACTAATACCCTGAGAGTTTAATGCTTTAGTGACTGAAATGAACAATTTCTCTAATAAAAATAACTAAATTAAGAGGATATTGTTTTAGGTGGCCAAAATAAAAGTACTTTAAAAATTAGGCGACCATCTAAATAGTTTATTCTAATTGTAATTATAATTTTTTATACATTATATTAGTTAATTATAGTTGTCGACATAGTCGTATACACATAAGTTAATTGTAGTTGTAATTTTTTAATCCATTCAGCGACTTCAGTAGTTAAAGAGAGTGTGAGGTCATGGGTTTGAGCAGTTGCATCTGCACAGTAGGGTGTGGACGTTGTTAATGACTAAAATTATGAAGAGATAATACCCTTATAATCACCCAAACTATCCGGAAAAATAATAAAATGTAAATTTTGACAATTAATTTGTGTCATTGAGTTTTGGTACTAAACTTTAAATTACATTGAATTTTACCACTAAATTTGATTTTTCAATTAAACTTTAGCACTCAATATTAATTTTGTTTATTATATAAAAAAAATTAACTAGAGAAATATTCTTTCAAATAATTTTAAATATTTCATTTTTATTTTATATGAAATTTACATATTTTTAGGGTAAACTATATATTTAATACTCTAATTATTTTTTATTCTATTTTGGTCATCCAACTATTAATTTTTTTAAATCATACTTAATGTTACATTTTAGTTTCATTTTGGTCACCTGTCGTTAAAAAATTAACATAACTGATAATGTGTCATATTTTTAAGTTTTTTTAATGATGACATGATATTACCTTATGATGACACACTAACATTACTGTAAATTTTCTAAGGGTGTGTGATTAAAATAAAATCAAAACGTAACGTTAAGTATGAATATTAAACAAAAAATAGTTAGGTGACCAAAAAAGAATAAAAGTTTTAGTTGAGATACTAAATGTGTAAGTTTTAGTTGAGATACTAAATGTGTAGTTTACCCTTTGTTTTATAAACAACTAAAATCTGAAACTAAAGTGATAAAGCTTTTGTAAGGGCGATTACGATTGCTCAGTGACCCCTAGACAGATGAGCAATTTTGAGAGTGGGAACTGAAATATAAAAAAAGTGCGGACAAAAGAATCTTCAATGAATACCACTTTTCAGTTTGAAAACCAAATGGTTCAATTATTCAAGAAATGAATGCTTAAAACCCCATAAATTTTCTTCCTTTTTATTCTTATCAACAGTTGGCTTACATACAGAACTGCAACATTCCAAAGCTCAAATATGGCCATTTGCAAATTGCAAAGAGGCGAAGCTGACTGAAAGACACCCAAACAAGCCTTATTCAGCGGACTTCTACCCCACAAAAGCTAACAAGAAGTTTGATTTGCTCCCAAAGCAGAGGTGATGATTAATCTTTATATCAGACCTATATACACGAGAATTAAAAGGAAAAAAAAACTGTGATGCACACCTGATATACGAGAATGGTATCGGTTCAATTCAAGTTCTTCACTTTCATGGATGCAAAGCTAAATGTGTCCATAAGCTGCTGGGATTTTGTATAGCTTCTTGCTGTTGGTGGTAATGAGGCCACATGGTGTTTGATGAATTATTAGTGAAGAAATCTGTTTCTGATTTGATGTCGGTGTTGTATAATTGTGGAGTTTGGTTTTGCAAAGCAGCCGCCATTAATAATGGGTTATTGAGATGTCCAGCCCATTTGATGTCTTCAGCTTGACTTTCCATTAGATGGATTGGATAAGGAGTCGTCTCTTTCTGTGGTGTGCTACAACTGTTGCTTTGTAGGTCGGTGCTGTTGCTGCTGCTGTTGCTGTTGTTCGCCGAGGCCGCTCCAGTTTCCCAATAGTGGGAACCATTTACAGTGACGGAAGGCTTGAACCCCATAGGAGAAGAGAGAAAAGAGGTCGTCGTCAATGGCGGGAGAAAAGTGGACATCGTGGCCGAAGAGAATTCGGAATTGATATCGAAAGCTTGGCTGGTTTGGTTGAACCAGATAGGAGGATTCGAGCTGGACGAGAGCCTCGAATTCGACGCATAGTTCAACTGTTGAATCGGAAGATGCCCCACCAAATCAGATGGCTGCTGATTGTTGGTCCTTATTGTTTCATGGTGAGTGATCGAGAATTTATCGCCGCTGTTCATCGTCTTCAAGCTCGGAGAAGCTGAACCGGAAGCCGTGTCCTTGCTGTTTGTCTGCTTGTCGTCGTCTCCATTTTCAACCTCGGATAAGGGTTTGTGAGTGACAGGGTCAATGCCCCTCTGCCTAAGCTTCTTCTTCAAGCAAGAGTTCCATAGATTCTTAATTTCGTTGTCGGTTCTTCCCGGCAGTTGTGCAGCTATTTGGGACCACCTGAGAATCGAACCAAACATAAAACAAAGAATGTTTACATATAAATCATAGTAATAAAATTCAATAACAAAAAAGAAAAGAAAAAAAAAACACCTGTTACCCAAAACTGCATGAAGTTCAATTATGAGATTTTCCTCTTCTTGAGAGAATGTACCTCTCTTTAAATCAGGCCTCAAATAATTAATCCACCTTAATCTGCAGCTCTTTCCACACCTCTGCAAACCTGCAAATATTGTCAATAATTTGGAAAAAGTAATGATTTAAAAGAGGAAACCGACATGAAAGTTAGTGCTTTGAAACGTTACCAGCTTGTTTAGGGACATAGCTCCAGCAACCATGTCCGTATTTTGTGATATGACTTAAAAGCTTCTCGTCTTCTTCGGGAGACCAAAGACCTTTCCTTAGCTTCTGCTTGTAACAGCAAGAGTGCCTCCCCATTTGTAGACCTGACCAAATCACAATGAGGAAGAAAACTTCACTAAGACAGCAACTTTCGCTGAATCCTAGGTGAGATATCGTCAGCAATGACTAGGGGACTGGTTTATTACAGAAGCAACGGCTGTCTGAAGAATGACTAAAATGAAATAGGAAGTGAGAAAAAGGAGTTGAAGTAATATAAGAGGAGACTCTCAATGAAAGAAAAGTCGCATTCATTAAGTGTTATACTTTCTCTTCTTCCATTCTTATTTTCAATAGTAAATCTAGAAATATTATTTCAAAGATATTAATAATATAAAATTTTAGATTAAATATTATTAATAAAATAAATAATTAATATAAAAAAATATCAAATTTCAAGTTCAACCTCCACCTACTTAAAACCCCGTTTACTATGTCAATGCTTATTTTAATACAAAAGCATTTGTTGTCTGGAAATAGAGGAAAGGGTTGTAATTATCGGATATTACACATTTTAATAATTAACAAATCAAATCGATTTTGGCACGGTATTTAACAAAAATCGAGATAGCTTAATAAAACGGTGAATAAAATTTGATTTGACTCAATTAAGTTTTTTTATTACTTAATTCGATTTGGAAAAAAACTTAAATCTATTCGTAATTTTATAAATTCGACTCGAAAAAAATCAAATTTCAGTTGAGTTATAAAATAAAACTCAAATAACTTAAATTTTTTAGTAATTAGTGGAATCATTTTTAAGTTTGAATCAAGTCTATCAATTTTGCATGATATATGTAAACCACGTATAAAAAAATATAAAGAAATATATATGTATATTGTATATGATTAAGAAAATCATTTAAATCGACATCAAATAATATTATAACATTATAAATATTTACAATTAAATTTGAATAATTCAACTTGACTAAAAAAATACTATAAATAGTTTTGTCTGATATATTAGTCGATGCAAATGAAAAACAAAAGTTCGACATTAAACCATGCCTTTTTAACTTTACCCAATTCCAATGGTAAAATTTAAGTTGATGGATGCAGTAACTCTACTTTTACACTAACCAAAAGCAAATAATCTTGCATGTTTTAATTTGAAATTTAATTCTTCTAAGTTTATGATCCTTTTGAATAATTTCTATCATTGCATATTTTTTTCAAAGAGTTTCCACTTTGAGGATGAATACCAAATTTTACCATTTCCTTTCTCTTTGGTTGAAATTTGGAATTCATTCTTCACACGGAAAATGATCAAAATTGAGAAACAGATTAATATTGTTTTTATTTTTATAAAATCAACTATCGTATTCTGTTATTTTATGTTCTTAACAATAAAAATTACGTTAATACCATCTTTAGATTCTAATCTCTGTCTTCATTTCCGAAACTACAATTTAAAATACTAGGGATTCGTCGAAACCAAAAGTTGATATTATGGATAAGCTCCAAAGACGAAGAAAGGGGAAGGCGATGAATTCGGGGTTTGAGGCGACTGATGACGACGGAGGGTACACAACTTTTGGGGACCAAATAAAGGAAGTGTCGGTATCAAATTTCTCATGAATCTAAACCCAGCACTAGGATTGGACTTTTCAACCTTTAAAAAATATCACAAAATTGCTTTTGATTCTTGCTGCATCTAAATGTCACAAGTTTACTGCTTTCTAAAAACCTGCCCGACAGATGAAGAATTTGATTTTGGAAGTCGCAATTTTCTGGGAAAACTTTTAAATTCCGGGAGAAAATTAAAATGATGTTCCAAATCATTAGAGACGGCACGGGCATTGAAATTGTGAAAATCAATGGCCATGAGGAGGGAATCTTGATAAGCATCGATCATGGAGGCTGAAACACACTACTTTAACATCACGTAGGACCCTTTACTTCTATTATATATATTCAATCGAATTGACAAATTTCAAATATTTCTTTATTTGAGTTGTACTTGGTTTGACGTGTAACATAATCAGTTCACACGTTCCTAAACACTAATAATTGCCCATTACAATAATAATTTCAATTTCCATATTTTGTTGTGGGAGTAATTTGATTCATTTCAGAGATTTGAAGATCAGCGGCTGCTGTGCACTTGAGGAGGTTCATCAGACGGTTGAGAATGAGGGGATAAAAGATCCTGAGCTGCACAGCGTACTGTAGAGATAACATATCTCTACGCCATCTTCATTGGTTCCAAATGTCTCTAAATCATGCACGTCATCGGGAAGGGACTATATATGATTGATTAAATGCATATTTTTGTCCATTTTCAATTCAATTATGTAATGTTTTTAAATTAACAATAAAATAATTTCAATTGGTGCCCGTCAGCACACAAATGTAATAGGACGTATGTATGAACATACCTACATATAATATATACGTAGGATGGGTTGAGGAGCAGCAAACGAAGGCAGCCGTTTTTCTATAAATTTTAAATTTTTATATATTTTAAATTTTTAAATATTTTTAATTAAAATTTTATTTTCATTTTCTAAAATTTTATAAGTTTTTTTTTAAAATTATAAGTTCATTTCTTAAAATTTTATAAACCCATTTTCGTAACATGAAATTTTATATCTGTCCATGTATAATATACGCATTCATCCACCGACAGACTTCCTCGACCTGCATTATTTTCTTATTTACAATCCCAAATACATCATTGAAACAATTATTGTTTTGCAAAAAAGTGCAATTTCGATATTTGTCTCTCTTGTACTTATTTTTCTATTAAATTTGATTTATGAGCATGGTTCTGCATACGTAGAGTCAAGTTCATCCCAACTGCCTTGATAAATATATCGTCCCATTTTTAAAATTTCATTTAGCATACCCGTGGACACTTGTTATCTGTTCATTGGATTTTTTTTTACCATTTTTATGTGTATTAGACGAACTATACTGTCTTGTACCATTTTTATTTCAACATTCATTTTGCTTCGAGAAGTTCGGGTGCAGAACAAATGACAATTCTTTAAGTTTGTCTGATAATAAATGCATCTAAATGGAAGAAGTATACTTCCATTCTGATCGAATCAGATAGCTTGCTTGCAGTAAAGTGGTTTACTGAAGAAAGTTTGGCCCCCAATATCTTCAAAGAGGTCGTGTCAAAATGTAAATATCTCATCCAAACTTCATTGTAAAATGAACTTTGCGTTCATGAAAAATGATGATGTTGTGCACATGTTAGCGAGAAGGGGTGTTAGTCGAGTATCAGAATTATTGTGGGTTGCTGATTAATTTGTAAGGGATGGGCTGTTAGTTTTAGGGTTTGTGTGATGATCAAAGCATCTTGCTGGTAGTTTGAGACTGTATTGATTTGTCGAGTATGGTTATTTGAATAAAGATAATTTTAAGTTATCATTGATTAATAAATTTGAGTACATTTTTTTCTATTAAAATTAGAGGGAGTTTTTAACGGGATACACTTTTTTTTTAAATAATTCCATTATGCCGTTTAATTCTATATATACCACCAACAAAATAATGTCCTTTGTACAATGGCTATGAACATCTTTCAATTTTCTTTATTTTTTATATTACAATTAATTTGTCTACATATTATAAAGGTTTCATTGACTTTAGTAATGTCTCCATTCATCGAATTACTAAAAAAAAGTTAAACAAATACTACCTTATAATCAGTTTATACTATTAAAAAATAACATGATAATGTAAATTTTTATTTTAAAAATGTATAAATTTTATTAAAAAAGACATTTATAATTATATCTCAATCATGTCTAATCAATCACTCGCAAGCTCATTATATGCAAGCACATGAGCTGTTTGCTATAGTCAACTAATGTATAAACATTAATGTTAATGATATTGATATTTGACACCACTAACACTAAGAACTTCCGTGGCTAGTCCTCGTCGACCTTTTTATCTTCTTTTGTTGTTGTTTGGGTTCAATTAACTAATTCGATTTTCTTTATTTTAGAAAATTGGTTAGGGTTCCCGAGTTCCTTCATTTTCCAAATAAGGAATTCATTTTGCCTTGTGTTTATAAAACTATCATTTTAGTTACTTGTGTAGGCTTTAATTTGATAGCATCATTTAATATCATAAGTGGTTTCTAAATTTAGGTTAGATTTAGGTGCTTGAATTATATTTTAAGTCTATTGATTATTGGTATGTGGTTAGTAAACCTCATTTTAGTTGGATTCTCAGCAAGTTGATTAAGCTGAGAGAGGAGGTTGGGCGTTTATTTAGGCCTTTGGCTAGCTTATCTCAGGTCAATGGCAGGTGGATATGGGATAGTGTCCGCGACAGAAGTGACAAGGTTGCATGGCATAGACTCATTTGGTTTCCTGCTCATATCCCCAAGTTTTCCTTGTGGCTTGGATGGTTTGCTCGACAGGCTTCCTACTAAGGACATATTAGGCAGGTTTGGAATTGTGGTTAACAACAGCTTATGTGTGCTGTGTGGGGTAGGTCAAGAATCTCGCAACCATCTATTCCTTGAATGCCTCTTTGCGTATGAGATATGGTGTGTTGTTTTGCTTGATTGTGAATTAAAGCATCAGGTGTTGGGATGCTGGGATGATGAGATTCGTTGGATGATGAGATTTGTTGGATGGCTCTGCACTTTAAGGGAAAATCCCTCTTAGTTCATATACTCAAGCTTGCTTGGACCGGGTTTGTTTACTCTATTTGGGAGGAACGAAATCACAGGAGTTTTAGAGGAGTGTTTCGTTCAGCTGATTCTATTGTAAATAGTATTAGAGAGGCGGTTCGTATTAAATTGTATGGGGGTTACATTAATAGAGTCGATGATGTAAATAGGCGTCTGTGCCAAAATTGGGGGTTGATATAGTGTTTGTCGATGTTTCTTGTAGCAGATGTGCTGCTTTCTTTCGATGAATAAACTTCACTTATCCAAAAAAAAAAAGACCAAATATCAATCCAAGAAGTCGACTAATTTTAAAACAACCGGGAAATAATCAAAGGTTCAACAACCCAGTGATTTGCTATGTATGTGGCAAGTCAATTCATAAAGCATATTAATCCTTTCAACACAATGACCATCCCGGAGTCATAACCAGTCTAGATGGGTAATTCCAACAGCTTAGAAGTACTCGTTAAAGAGATTCTATTGAAACTTACTTCTTGTAAAACACTAACATTGA